ATTAGTGCTTCAGTCCAGTCCGAGCAGATAGGTTAACGTACGTGTCTGGTTTTCTGGGAGTGTAAGATAAAAATATTTTTGATCTTATTGTTCACTAGAGCGCCATAGTCTTTTTCTTCTTTGGTTGCACTTATTGATGAATTTATAGTGTGACCCACCATAGCCGTCAGCTAACAAAACGAATTGCTGCAAAAAACATCAAATATTTTTTTATTAATTTTTAACAATTTTTATTTCTTTTATTTTCATGTACTAACCTTTCTTACAAATTATCTGTTTAACACATAACCGGCTTTGATATGAGTGGGAAAAAAAAAAAAAAATGAATTACTTACCTTATTTTTGGCTGGCTTGCATTGAGACCTGTGCCGGTACCTTGGCTTGCAGATGTGGATGCAATTTGTGGAAGCGGTGCAGCTGGGAGAATCTTCTTGCTTGTAGAGGTGGAGACTTCTGTACCCTGTAGGCCAGTTATAGTTTGAATTGATTTTTCTAGAGTGTTGAAACCTTTTCCCCGGCCAGAGCACAACCCCTGCCGATCGTACTGTTTCAGAATCACTTTCTCAGTTCTTCATACTGGTTGCCGGTATTGGAGAAGCCTTTTCTTACTTGATCGTAGTAAGTCCCAACCCTGTATTGACTTTCTTCTCAACACTGTAGTCTGATCTTTCCCTTCTTCCGCTTCAGTCTAAACAGCCAAATAGAAACCTCGCCAGCCTGCTTCTCCGGGTGTGATGTGTTGCTTGAATTGTTTGGCTGCCGGTCTCAATAATGTTATGGTGTGAATATAATTTGTTTGGTTCATTTCTCACTGTACTGATGTATTCTTGCTTGCCGTTTCAAAGCCAGGCCGCTATAGCTCCTCTCTCCACGAATAACCAACTCGTCGACGTGTCCTGGGGAATAGTTGACCAGGCCCAGTGGATGATAAAAAGAGGTAAGTCGATCTCTTTTTCCCTTTCTCATCATTGCCTTGCAACCCTCTTCAGTAGTACTCACACCTTTCGTGTCCTTTTAGTTAGTAGTAATTCACTGGTCCCGATAGTTAGTACTAGTTGTCCGATCATGGGCTCTGAATCTCCAGCATCCTCTAAAGATCTACCATACGAGTCGTCCGTTCCATCGGACCAGGTAAGCCAATTTTCGCTGTCCAATGCTGCCATATTAGCTGTTGAAACGGGAGCTTATCATCCCTTCACCCAGCAGGATATGCTTGAATATTCGTCCTTAGCTACTGGATCTCCTACTTCTCTTCCTGGGTGTGCGTCTCTTGCAGGTGAAGTTAACCCTGTTCTCGAAGACCCTTGGATGGCCATGAAGCGGAAAGCGATCCTCAGTGTCCTCAACCGACCTGCTTCTTACGCGCGCGGCTTACCAGATTACATGCCGGGATCATTGTCCCGCTCGGTTCAGGATATGAAGATGAAAGGAAAACAGACTGTTCGCGATTGTTCTCCTCTCCCACCTGTAGGTTATCTTTGTCTCTATTTACTGTTTTTACTCGATACTGACTGTTAAGAATATTGATTCACCGTTGTAGAGTCAGATCGAGCATCCTGTCAGCCCGAAGACCAAAACTCCAGGTGACCGAATCGTTCATCTGGTTTCAAGAGTCAGTGGTACCTATCAGAGTCCGTACCCTCTGAGCTCCGAAAAAGGATCCTCGGTTCCTCCTAGCTCCAAGTCCGACGAATCGACTATAGGTCCAATGTCGCCTCGCCACGACGCTCCTCCTGCCTTCAAGCGCTCTCGAATCGAATCCGATCGTCCTTTTTCACCTTTAAACACCACCGATTACCTTGATTTAAGCCCCAGCCAGATCGATGAGCTTTTGCACGAGGGTAAAGAATTCCCTACGCGGTTTATTTATAACGCTGAACAGCTTAACGAGATCGCACACTGCTGTTTGATCGACTTGATCGATTTCTTTAATTTTTATGCCCCTGGCTCCCCTCAAGAAGCGTCGGCCCGGGTCCATCTCGTTACTCGGCATCAAGGCCATTTCAATGCCTTCCTTAAGGCTGCCAAGCTCTAGATCGGTCAATCGACGCATGTATGTTCCTTCATCTGCTCTATGTCGTCGTATGGCCACTTGCTGAAGCCCAAGCGATTTTCCCTTTTTGAATAGCTGGAGGAGCCCTCCGATCCTCGGTTGACGATTCCCAACTCGATCGATCCTCTTTTGTACATAGCTTAAATCTCCTATCTCCAACGACTTCTACCACGACCAATCTTCTTCCCTTCTCCATAGCTGCTACCCTTCTTTCTTGATTGATCTCTGCCGTTGTTACCACAATAGCGACCGCCCTGATCAGTGCCTCGACTTCGTCCATAGTCTCTCTACGATACACGACTCCCTTTCTCTCTATACACGTTCCAATAGTCTTCCTTTCCCCTTGTATATACTGCTTACAACCTACCAATCCGCTGTCGCGACCCTAACTACTCCTTAACGCTTTCGAACGAAAAGAACGACGACCCGATTCCTCTCCCTCTTTCGTGATGACCTCTTTCCCCTTGATGACTACAAACCAAAACAACAGAAAAAAATGACTGAATCCTAAAAACTTGTACATAGATTGAATCCTTTCCTTAATGTACATAGACTATGACCTGAAACTGAGACTGGATATCTTTTCCTAAGTGAAAGCAAGTAGCACCTTTGAGGGACCTACAACATACTAGAAGAATTATAAGGACATATTTGTGATGAGATAAGGAAGATGAAATTCAATATAAACACTGCAAGTGAGCAGGATGCCAAAATCAACCCCTAAGCCAAATCAGATGTTTGAGTGGTGCCCTGATAACTCATCCTAACTAGTAGTAATTCCCAAAAAAAAAAAGATGGGCCATCCCCTAGCTGAGAGAGCATGACAGAATATACCCAAGATTGAAATGAAGAGCCAACCAAGAGAATGCCATAACCTATTTTTTTTAAAAAAAAAGAAACAACCTACTATTGTTACAAAAAAAAAAAAAAAAATGTGCGCCAATGGACTTATTCTGCAATTGCAGAATACTCCCAGTCTTTCCAGAAAGTTTTGTAGTCTGCTCCTCGGAGAGCTTGTTCGTCCTGTAACACCCATTTAAAAGCATTCCAATCGATTTTTCCAAAAAAACCAACCATTTTTGATACTAACTCCGCCAAGAATTCTTCTTCTTCCTCTCGCCGCTTTCTACCGCCGTGTCGTATTTGTTTTTCCATTACTAGGCCCACCCCCGTGTTGTCTCCTAAATACATATGATAATGATCTCCAGGCAAAATCCACCAAGTTTCTGGCCAAATACTATCGTTCTCCAGGTAACCAATTGTTCCTTCGTAGTTCAGCAGCATCATGAAACCAATACGGCCGGTTGAATATCCAGGTAATTCCTTCCAATCCCCCTCCGATGTTGATCCACGATTCTCAGGGAACATTCGTACAAATTCTTTATCCGGGTACCCATTGTCAATATAATCCGCTGTGACTTTAAATGCCTTTGACGAGTAATCCTTTTTGCTGCTTGTCCAGGTGGGAATCGGAGTCCATTCTTCAATGGGTTGAGTGTTTAATGCATCCTCGTATAAGGAATCTGTCTTCCAGCTAGCTGATCCATGGGTTTCTGTACTGTCCGTTTCCGTCTGTTTGCCGTCTTGATCCAAGGTCTCCTCTAGTTCGATTCCAACTCCGGTCGGTCCTCTCATATGTGGTATACTCCCAGCATCCACATAACAGTCTACTTTCATGCTAAAACACTTATCTGCTATCCTACGCGGAGGTGCCATCTCCCATCCTGGAATCTTTGGAGAACAAATGGGGATACATAATCTTCCGCCATCCTCTAATTCGTAGCTCAGTATCTCACCTCGGTTTTTGGATAACTCTAGACGTACCTTGTGATCAGCCAGGAAGGGCCTTCCCAACACCGTATAAACCTTACCTCGAGCAATAAAGAAATTTGCAGCCTTCTCATCTTCAGAATCTATGCAGAAATGGATTCCTTCCGCCAAGCCAACTATGGGTGTCGAATGTCCTCCAATACCCATGATGTTCATACTGATCTCACGCGCCGGTAATTTCAACTGTATGGCCAATCCTTCCGGCATAATATTCATTTCTGCACCTGTGTCCACTAGAGCCTTCACCTGTTTACCTCCGATCACGATGTCAATAAATCCTAGCGGGCAAGCATAAGTTAGTGCATTCTCGCTCAAATCTAAATTCATTCGGCGCTGTCGCTTAATTTCGTCCTCAAAATCTCGATGGTCGCATCTCCCAGAGTTTTGGCTTCTATTCACTGTTTTTGGTTCCTCCTCCGGAAAGGTCTGCAATTCTTGAAGAAATTTGGGTGCTATCAATAGGAGCTCTTCCAAAGTTAGTGTAAAACTTTGCTTTAAAAACTTCTTCTTAAGTCCCCCCCAACTTTGGATTTGTCCATAATTCTAGGAAATACTTCTTTTACTGACAGATCTTCTTCCTTCCTTTCCGGTTCTTGTCGTGCAGATTCCTCCAACTCTGGTTCCTCTTCCACACTACTCCCGTCGTCTGAGCCGCCTTCCATCCACGCTCCTGGGTAACTTGGTCGTCTCTTCCGTGCCGCCGATGGGTTCTTATTGGCTTCTTGATTTCCGGGTGGTGTCTTTGGTGTAGCTTCCTTGGGCTTAATTGGTACTTCTGGTTTAGAGGCATGTTGTTGTGATTCTTTCTCCTTATCCTTGTTGGTCCGAGCGGATCTTCGCAGGCCAAATCCAATCAAATTCTCCTCGTCCTCCTTGCCGTAATGCATTTCCGGTGGACTCCAGGCTTCCCAACGATTAGTCGAAATCATGGACGCTGTTGGTTCTTGTCTAGGCTGCAGAAATTCTTCACTCATCATCATGTTTGCCCTCTTATCCCCAGTCTCCTTGGCTTCATTGGAATGTTCGGCAAATTTCCTGACCAACTCTCGAACTGAATCTCCGGTGTCTGAAGGAATCACTTCCCGGTTAGGGTAATAAAAGTTGGGTCCCTGCTTGAAAACCAGTCGTTTAGTTATATCCTCGCTAAGGTGTTGACAGAACATGGAGGTATGATCCATTTCCTTACAATAGAAACATTGAAGTTGAGGGCGCGGGAACGACGGTCCTCCAGTTCCTGGCGGTCTAAATCCTGAATTGGGTGGTCTTGGCGCAGAAAAATGTGGCGGAAATGGTCTGGCGTTTTGATTAGTATTCATATCAGTACGTAACTTCTTGATTTCATCCTCTAAGGCCTTCATCTTATCCGTTCCACTGTCTGACTTATTCTTGCTTTGAGTTTCCTTCTTAGATTCAGAATCCTTGGTAACTGGTTTAGCTTTTGAAATTCCAACATCCAAGTCTAATACCGCAAATGATGCATCCACGTAATCCTTCAAGACTTCTAACTTTGGTACTAGTGCCTTCCCGTCCTTGGTCTTCTTTAATTTCTTGTCGTGAGCCAACTCCTTCGCTACGTCCCGTCGCATCTCGGTCGAAATCGCCTTCCACAGCGGTTCGCCACTCGTCGCATTCACGTCCTCGTAATCCATTTTCATCAAATACGCCAAAATCTCCTCAAGTTCGCCAATAAACGTCCTGTATTCTTCCTTTGTCTGAATACCGCCCTTATCCATGTACTTGCTGACCAATATCGAAACCAAATCCTCGTTAAATCGTCTGAGTGGTGTTGCCCGTCCCCATTTACGAATCATTTCCTTCTTCAACAAGTCCCAATCCCGATTCTCGTGTCCTTCCATATTCTCAATGCATTCACTGATCTTCTTGGATTTAACCATAAAGGGTAACTGAAGGGCTACGTCTTGTCCGCCAGCTTTGTGTAAGGAAGCAATCTTCTCCACGCGCTTGATGAATAATTCCACTTCTGATCCGTCAAAGTCTAAATTGAGCTTCCGTGTATCTAGAACTACGCCTTTCTCTTCATCAGCAAGCTTGATTTCAGCTTTTGTCCTAGTCTGGCTTGCTTCGGATGAGGTTACCGCTAATCCTAACAAGCTTTCTTCTCCTGCTCCAATAGTAGTTTCTGCTCCGGCAATTCCCGTATAAGGTGTTGAGGTTGCAAATCGTAATGATGGTCCACGCGGTGGTGGAGTTTCCGGTACTGGTACATTCTGTGGTGCTTTTGCTTGATTTACCAATGTCATCATCATTTCCTTCATTTGCTGAATAGAGTCTTCAAGTTCCGTCATCTTGGCTTGCTGTTTTTGTATGATTGCTGATTGTTCCATGTTGAGTTCCTCCGTGGTTAACATTTGCCGTTTCTTAGATAATAATTTTTCAAAATGTTCTGCCAAAAATTTCCGCTCCCTTTCTCTAATCAAATCCTTCTTCTCGGCAATCGAATCCTTCTTCTCGCCAATTGAATCCTTCAGCTCGCCAATCGAATCCTTCGTCTCGCCAATCGAATCCTTTGCCTCGCCAATCAAATCCTTTGTCTCGCCAATCAAATACTTTTCCACCTCAATCGTACCCTTCGTATTGCCAATCGAACACTCCTTATCGCCGCCAAAATCTGCCTTCTTCCCGTTATCCACGATTGATTTGATGTTGAGCTTGATTCACTAGAAAAATATGATTGATTTGAATGATCTTGATGAAGGTAATCGGCCACTGTTGGGACACCAGATGTAGGACTCCTGGGACGGATAGACACGGTAAAGTATATGTAAATCAAAAGATCCCTTGAGGGGGAAATAAATTGCAAATAGGTTGAAAGGCTATTACAACTTACGGGTGGTTTGAAAGACCTGCCCCTCTAATTGTACTAAACAAATAACTAAGAGTCTTGTAATCAATATTTAAGAATATGTGGCTGATTCCAAGATAGATCTTACTTTTGTAAAGTAATCTCTATCAGACCTAGATCACGTATCAATCTACTAATGAATCTGTTACAACTTCAGGTTAATAATGGAAACTGTGGCACTTATGGTTGAGCGCAAGACAGTTGAATTTGTTATTTAGAGTTTGTTAATGATCTCTTCCTCGAACAATTTCTTGCTAAGGCACTTTAATCACAACTAGAGCTCCGGTGTTACTACTACTACTACTTGTTATTTGTTATTTGTTAATAATACTACTTAAGTTCACTTTGTTATAGTTCAATGGTTCTGGTTCTACTACTTATAAATCTCTGACTTTACTTAACTAATTCTGACAATCACACTACTGACTAACTAATGGTGACCAACTTACTCCTGTAGGTTGATGGGGGGAAAAGAGAATCCTGGTGGAGAGAGGCCCTCCTTTTATATTGAAGAGTGAGGGATTTCTGCTGCAGGGGACTCCTTGTGAGTTATTTTTGCTGCAGGTGACACACTTTTGCACAGCATGATGTCATTGGTTGCTATGAAACCAAGCCATGTAGCATGTGCTGAAACCTTCCAAAGCAGTAATCCAGTACAGTATACAGTCTTATGAGATTTGTGACTTGGAAACCAAATCCACATTCCAAATGTTCTGTGTTTCATCTCAACAGATGAAGCAACAGATCAAACATCAGATGAAACACTTGCTTACTTCCTTCCTTGTTCATTCTTCAGGGTCAAAACCTCTCCGCCTACCTTCCTTCTCCCCTCCTCATCAACTGTCTTATGTTCCTTTCCACTGATTACACAATAAATAAACCCATATTACATAACCTACCCACGCACACAACACATGTACATATGTATACCTTATCCTGTTGTTGTATGTCCTATGTAATGAATGTTCCTCCTCTTGTAATGAATGATAATTGTGTGTCACTATCACCTCTTCTGTATGCTTTTGGCATTGGAACAGGCACAGCACACCACAGCGTCCTCTCTCTTGATCACTGGTGTCAGCCGTTAACAGTGTCCTGTTTTGATGTCCGGTACCCGCTGTCAAGAAAGTTAAGCTCCACTTTTGATGACCAGTACAAGCTATTGAGAGAGTTACAGTCTTGATGAATGATACTGGCCCCCTCTTGTGATGGCCAATACTGGCCCTCATGGGAATCTGGTTGACCGGCACCGGCCACCAAGAGAATGCACTCTTGATAACCGGTACCGGTCATCAAGACTGTAGCCCTCTCAATCACCAATATTGGTTGCTGTGAGTCAATGTAAGAGCTGCTTTCCCCATTGGGATGGCCTTCATGATGTCTCCATTGCAGTGAGGATATCCCTGACCTGCATTTGGGGACTTTCAGTAACAACTTGTTTTTTTTTTGCAAGTTCAGAATATCCTGTCCATGGTTTCAATTCACGTGCTGATAGTAGTACTTGGCCATTTGACACCAAAAAGAAGAGGAATGCTGCTGTGCTGCACTGATTTGCTGCCTTTTGTAGAGCAGTGCAGCAGATGTGGTGTTGTGGGCCCCTCTATCTAGAGGAGGGACGTGAATAAGTCAGCTTATATATAATACCAGCACTCCAATGCTTGCAACAAGCACTATGGGATAATCTTGACAGTTGAAATTTACAGGTCTTATAATCAACATTGTTTTTGTGTATTAGGCCGCCACATCATGCATGGAGACTACAAGCATCATCACAATGTCAGCCTAAGATTTAAAAAACAAAAAAACAGGGGAAAAAGATTTTTCTGGGTACAAGTCCCTCTGGACAAGCCATTGACATGGACTTGGCCTAAGAGGGCCTGTGTCAAGGTGGCCTCCCATTCTGCAGTTTTTTTTTTTTTTTTTTTTCTTTTCTTTTTCTTTGTTTACTTTCCACAGAAGAACACAGTTGTGTCAGCTGTGCAAACTGGGCACATCTTTGCTAGTGCCCTGTGATTGGTGCACTGTTGTCCTGGTGGTTTAGGGCATATGATTCTTCTGCCATGGCCCCAGTCTTCCAATTCTGGGCCTTTTCTGGTCCATTTGACGTGCTCGTAGCCATCGGGACGGGGTTTTGCTGCACATAGAGAACAGTGGGTCGTGTCACTTTCGGGAAGAAGAGTCCGTGGGTATCTAGGCGTTTCAGATCTGCTGAGCCCGGACCAGGGAAATGAAGACTGAACCAAGCCGATCAGACCAGACAGGGCGAGCAGAGGTATGAACCGCATGGATGAACCTTCGAATAGGACGGTTCACGTCTGACCTTTGGAGCAAGTTTTATAGCATTTATCATTAAAATTTTCCAAATTTGTCAAAAATCTCAAATTCCTCCAAATCTGATGATTCATGAGATTTGACAAAATTCATAAAATTTTAACCATAGAAGTGCTAAAAGTTGCCTTAAACTTCAGACGTGAACCAGCCTAATGTGGTGGAGATTCGAACACAGGACAGATAATCAAGGTAACTGAACAAAGGGGTTGTCCAAGGATGAGCAGGTTTTATCCAAGTCGACCAGGGTCCGATGGGACGACTGGAGATTGTTTGACTATAAAAACCCCTCCCATTCCCAATCAAGCGGCTGCGCAGCCTTTAAACCGAGGTAAGAGGACCAGCTCCAACATGTCGAGTCACCAGCAATGACACTATACATGTGGCAGCTATCATGTTCACATAATTCAGCCTATATAAAGTTGTGGGTAGATAACTAACATACAAGCATATCTTCTATTGCTTTTTCTCAACGACATTAGAGAGATTGCAACTTCCTGGTGATGAATTGGTCATGATCAGATTCAATGAAGATTTCCCAAACCTTCTATTTCGGGAAAGGTTGTACTGGAGTGCGATGAATAACGATTAAGTAGGTGAATTGGATTTATTCATGATATTAACTAGTCTTCAATGAACTGGGTTAAAACTGGATCGTGTAGATTTTTTCTTTTCGATCCGGAAACAGGTTCATGAGCGGTGTTTTTTTTTCTGATTGCTTGTCAAGAATGATTATCCGACCATACTCCGTTTGCGACCACGCATGCGGACGTTAGCCAGTCTGGTCTTGATGGCCATCCAAGATTCTTGAGACAGATAGTTTGCATAAGCTTGGAGGACGATTTCGAAGAGTGGGGAGGAATGCTTGAGGGATCGATTGTTAGGGTCAGAGTGAGTGGAGAGGAAAGCGCGCTCGAGGACGTAGAGGTCGACGGCCTTATCTTCGACTAATGAGGTCACCGATGAGAGACCAAAATCGATCATCACTACCTCTTGGTTGCTCCTAGAGGGGCCCTGAGACTTGGAGGCTCTCAACATCATGTTCGAGGTGGTCAGGTCGCCGTGGATGATGTCGGCTGAATGTAGCTTGGCGATCTGGGTGCCCACGTCGGATAACAGATTGAGGAGTTCTTCCTGGGATTGCTCGTGCTGTTGGTGTTCTTGGAGCCATTCACGGAGACTGATTCCTTCGATCCATTCCAACATCAACCAACCCTGTTCGAGATCCAAGCCTTTCAGAACCGGCACCCGTACTCCGGTCTTGAGTGCACGCGTCAACGATCGTGCTTCGAAGGTCAATCTGTTCTTGGTCAGTTGGCTATCCAAGCTCGGATGTCGATAGGTCTTCGGGAATCGATACTTCAGTAGGACTGTGATCCCTGGTCGGCCTTCCGCTGCCTTGACGAGCTCGACCGTGTACACCTTGGCTTCGGCTCCCTGTTTGATCAGCGTCGAGGATTCGAGTACCTTCGCAAAGTCTGCAAGCATCATGTCCTTCCGAAGGTGTTCGTCGCGTCTCGAAATTCCTATGTATGTGGCCGTACATAAGCCCATCTCCCGCCATCTGTAATCTGATCAGGGAGAGTGCCGGGGAGTGGGGGGGAGGCGGGGTAGGCGGGAGTATCGGGTACCCGGGGCTGGCTCGGTCGATGGAGACAAGTCTTGTGTCAGTAGTCTTGGCCAAAAACTTTTGTTCACATCAGATACATACATCAACCACCGATTCGACCAGCATGTCTACCTGGGCAGAGCAAGATATCCGGCTGGATCCCGCCATCAGAAATTGGTAAGTCACTATCTTAATCTTCACCAAGAAACAAACCGCTGCCTCCAGCTTAATCTAGATATTGATATTCATTATTGATTCTGTTTTCTTTTTTCTTGAAATAATATAAACGTATCACTTGGATTTGGGCGAAATCGATACACGCTTGGCACGCAACAATCAAATTCAAACATGAAAACGAAAAAAAAAAAAATCCAAATTCGGGGGAAGGAAAGGGTGCTACTACCGATCACATTTGTGATGTTACTAGTCGGGATTCTGCGACATTATGCCATGCAATTACTGCATAGCGATCCGAAGCCGATCGGCTTGAAGCAATTACGAGAACAGAGAGCATTGATGAGATCCGGATATTTCAGGAACAACTGTCACTTTCTATCGCCCTCAAGATTCGAAGAACGAAGGAATCGATTGATCAACGCTTTTCTCGACGGTCATTACCTGAGTGAAACCGGTAAACCTCAATCTAAGTCGGTCATCACCGATCCCAACAATCCGAAATCTGCGGGTAATCAGGACGAGCTTCCTCCTGCTAACCCTCCCAATCCTCTCGATCCTGCTAACATGGAAGGAATGATGGATGGAATGAAGAAACAGATGGTGATGATGATCCCGCAGACTGTGGTTGGTTTCTTTGTATTTTGATACCCAATTGGTGATGATTGACAAGACGCTTACTATTTTTAAACCTTGTTCCTTGAAGATCATGGGTTGGATTAACGCCTTCTTTTTTGGGTTTGTTTGTGGTAAGAGATCACCCTTATCCCTCTGGACCTCTGGGAGAAGTCAATGATCAGTTAGGCTGATCAATTTACTGGTCTTGTTATTTCACAAGTCAAATTACCTTTCCCGCTACCCAATGGATTCAAGCAGATGCTTCAAAGAGGAATAGAAACCCGTGACATGGACATCAGCTGGGTATCATCACTATCTTGGTACTTTCTTAACCTGTTTGGACTCAACCCTCTATACAGACTAATCTTAGGAGACGGGAATGGTTAGTTATTACGCCCTTTTTCTTATTCTGTGACCTTTTTTCAAACATTCATGTGGGGTTTTTTCTTTGTTCCTCAGCTGCCGATGGTACGGCTTCGTTAGCGATGGGAGGGGCATCAAATATGGCGGCAGTGATGCCAGGACAACAGGTGGACTACAAGAAACTCTACCAAACAGAGGTCGAAAACCTCAAGTTGGTCGATCATCAATACGTCTGTGATCCAATCGTCAATCTACAGTTAGATGATATCGAAACCAGAATCCTGAAAATGTACAAGAATTGAACCCTTCGGATTGTGATTGATATAGACGTTGTCATGATCCGATCTCCGATGTGTTTTATCTGAACTGGAAGGGACATTTGTAATTGCATAACAAGACATCGAACTGGTCCAAAGTCATTGGGCCCACCGCCTTCCAGTACACAAGGCCAGAGTGAAAATTGTAATAGAAGCAATGTATGCCAATGATAATAGTCAAGTCGATCCATTTTTTTTGTTGCTTCGTCTGTAAACTGCCCGTATCTTATCTTGAAAATTATATTTTAACATGTATATAGACCTGTCCGGATTAATTTCGACTGACCCGGTGCAAAGTGTGTCCACCCTGTCCGTATGACTCAAGAAAATGTTTTTATCTTCTCCAACATGATCAATACTTCAAGTTTCTTGGATTCAGCTTCATGGCTCACCTTCAATATAGAAGATTTCATAGAACTTGGAACTAGTATCTTATCTTGAAAATTATATTTTAACATGTATATAGACCTGTCCGGATTAATTTCGACTGACCCGGTGCAAAGTGTGCACCCTGTCCGTATGACTCAAGAAAATGTTTTTATCTTCTCCAACATGATCAATACTTCAAGTTTCTTGGATTCAGCTTCATGGCTCACCTTCAATATAGAAGATTTCATAGAACTTGGAACTATGTGTAGTCACCAGGAAGACAAATCTTAGTCAAAGGAATGAGTTTGACACGAGTTCCTGTCAACAAAAAGTGAACACAGTGTTGAGGTGTCTGATAGCCTGCTACCATGATGTATCACTACATCTCTCAGCTGGCAAGCAAACCCCAGTTACCCCTTAACTAGTTGACTTAATGTTTTGCTACACCAACTGCATGTTTCATACATTTCACACTCATTTCACTCATGTTCTTATTCATTTCACTCATTCATTATTAACATACTCTAATATGCTTGTATCTAGTTGTCCTTGACAAGCTGGATATATAAAGTGTACGGACTGAAGTCTATTGTTCCCCAGACTTTCAGAAGAGACGAAAATAATAACCTCATTTTATTTACCCATTCCTCTTGAGCTCAAAGATACATCAACATATCACTACTTTAAGCTTGCTTGACCCTCTCACATCAACACATCACTGTTGGGATCCTCGAGCCTGAACTTCTCAAAACTTATCATCAGCTGGGTGTGAACACCTTGGACCGCATTAGACTCTTTCTACAATTTGGAGCCACTGGTCAACACCAGTAAACTTTCATTGAGCGGATTCTAGTCACCACGGAGTAACCCACCGCTGACACAAACCATGAGCACTACCACCCAACTACCCTGTCAGTCACAAGCATCTGTAGCCTACACAGCCCGAAAACAGGTGACAAAACCTGGATTTTGTCACACTGACACTTTTGTGGAAACTTGCCTGCAGTGTCTGCAGCAACTGGCGCAGTCACGCTCCAAAAAATGTCACCATGTAAAGGCAGCACTCTAGTATATGTCTCAGCCTAGCTGAGGCTGTGAGTTTGAATCTCACCAGACACATCTTCATTTTGTCTGTCTCTACACACAGATCTATTCAACTTCTGTTGCTTCTATATTTTATCAAGTGTTTCTTCTATAGTTTATCAAGAAGCAGTTTAACTGTGGATCATGAATAATAACTGATGCCAGTATGGAAGCCCACTGGGGACAACAATCCACCAACTTGAAATTGCCAATTGCGCCATGACACCAAAAAAACACCCAACTTGCTGTAAAACCTTGTTTCACATCACCTGACTGTATTTTAGAATGTTTCACATCACAAATGGAATCTCGGCCTCACTTCTGAGGTAAAATATGTAATCCAGATACATCACCCACACAACATATCAACCCCCATTTACTCCTTCATTGCAAAGACAAACACATCATACCAACTTTGTTTAAATTACAATATGCCAAGATTTTCTCCAAATGAGGATTCCCAATTGGAGAATTTCTATTCCTCATCCAATTCCTCTCCAAAAAGCCCTTTGATCTCATCCAAGGCCACTGGTGACTCAGATAAAGACCACACAGATGATCCCAACACAAGTGGTGATCAGACAGATACTAATAACTTCAACCGTCATGTATATGGCTCAACCACAGGGTCTTCCGGCTGTTACAACTCCAATTACAGCAATAAGCTTTTTCCTGATGCAGTTGATCACAATGAAAAAACTCCTACTCTGGAGAAGATTCCCACCTGTTCAGCTCAAGTTAAAACCATTGCAAACCATCCAATTCCAGTGAAGAAAGTGAAGACAGCTCAGATGCTACTGACCCTGATGAAGAGCATATAAACTATTCTGCATCAAATTAAATTGGTTTGGAAGAAAAAAGCTCTGCCAACAAAATTGAAGTCTCCAACTGGAGATGGCCTCAGGGTATCTGTTACAGACACCCGCTATCTGTGGGAGGATACCTGCCAGTGCCAACAGATACCCACTGGGAGATACAGATGGGGAGTGATAATCACACTCCCTCCCCCTTCGCGCACACACTCCAACACTCCCTGGGGTTTTTACTGTGCCCTCTAATATCAGTTCCTGAGTTTCAGCCTCTGGGTAACTAACCTGAGTGTTTTATTGAGAAAGGTTGTTACTATGAGTTGACTGAAGTGTTTTGAGCGTGGTGAGTGGTAGGTAGTGAGTGTTAATACCAGTCCTGTAATGAGGAGGTTTCACTCTATCAGTATGGCCTTGCTATCAACAGCACATCCGGATCAATACTAGGTATTAATAGGCATCCAGGTACTAGGACTCACCTGGGATTAGTTGGTTCCCAAAAGGGAAAGGGCTAACAATACTTATTAAGCTTTAACAAAATTAGTTGAAGATTAATAGGTATTGTTGATGGGAATATTCAGCAAGGCTATGAATACTGTGGATAAGTTGAGTTGTTGACTTAAGCTTAAGAGCAATAAATATAGACTAGATTTATGTTGGTTATGTGTAAAGGTATCAATATAAATGTTAACTGGTGTCTGAATATTTGGGGGATTAATCAGTGAAAGAGGCATGGATTATAAGTTCCAGAATATTGAAAGAGGGAAAGAATGAGCACTCAGAATCAAGGGAGCTTTGGCCAGGAGAATGAGGACATCAATTGAGTGACTTTGTCATGATCTGTCAGTGACATCATAATTGTGTACTAGTTTATCAATACACTAGTTGCTCTTGATGTGTGCACTTTAACTGATCCTTTAATAATGCAGTCATAATTGTGATCAGTGCATGTATTGAATGTATTAATTCTATTAACACTTAATGATTAATTTTCAATACATGTACATGTTTATTTGTAATGTTATTTTACTGTACAAATACTGTACAACAGGCATAAGTTGTGATATAGGTATTTCACGGACAAAGAGGTGAAAGGTAAGTGATAATTACTTATGTATAAAGTAGATATATATTTAGGGCGTTAATAAAAAAACGTGGTAAATCCGCGTTTACACTCGGTTTCTGCTGCGCGCAGCACACGCGGATTCCGTGGTTAAACACGGTTTCGTATGTATGCACACATTTAATGGAAAAAATGAGTGGAAAAAAAAATCAATAATTAAAATTCATTTTTATGAAAAATGGTCTTTACCATTAAATTCTACACACTTGAAAACCTAGGAAACAACTTTAAAATTTTGAAAAAAAATTAAAAAAATAAGCGGGAAACAATTAATTAAAAAACCGCGTGTACACGCGGAATCCGCGTGTGCTGCGTGCAGCAGAAACCGCGTGTAAAGGCGGATTTACCGCGGAATCCGCGTGTGCTGTGCGCAGCAGAAACCTCGTGTAAAGGCGGATTTACCGCGTTTTTTTTTATTAGCACCCTTTTAAAAATTCAAAAAAACTCAAAAAATAAGCGGTAAATAATTAATCAAAAAACCGCGTGCAAAAGCGGAATCCGTGTGTGCTGCGCGCAGCAGAAACCGCATGTAAAAGCGGATTTACCGCGTGTTTTTATTAACACGCTAAATAAATATGCATTTACATTTAATCTTAATTCACAATTTATATTGGGCCTTAATAAAAAAACCCGCATTTTCCGTGTTTTGACGCGCTTTTGCTGCGCGCAGCACACACGCATTCCGTGTTTAAACCCGCATTTTTAATTAATTTTTTTTTGCCATTAATTTCGAGTTTTTTTGATTTTTTGAAGTTGTTTCCTACACTTTAAAAGGTGTAGAATTTAATGGTAAAAACCATTTTCCATAAAAATGAATTTTGATTATTAATTATTTTTTTTCACTCATTTTTCAAGTAATTGTTTGCTTCAAGTTTTTTACCTCATTTTTCAAGATTTTGTGTAACTTTAAAGTTGTTTCCTACATTATTAAGTGTGTAGAAATTTATGGTGAAATCCAATTTTCATAAAAATGAACGGATCATTTTTAATAATGCAATTACACCCATTTTTTCACTTAAATTTTTAGAGCTCAATTTTCATTCTTTTTTCACATTTTAAACTTTTTTCCTACACTTTCAGACATTTATAAATTTATGGTAAAAATTATTTTGAATCAAAGTGAGAACTACATCTTGTATACTGCATTTGACACCATTTTTTTTATTTAATTCTTCACTTTTTCACTCAATTGTTTGCATTAATTTGTTTACCTTATTTTTTCTGCTTTTTTGAAATTTGAAAGTTGTTTCCTACATTTCAAAGTGTTTAGAATTTACTGGTAACATTCAATTTCCATGAAACTCAACGGTTCATTCTGAATACTGTAATCAGCCTTTAAATTCAATTGATTTTTAAGAGCTTAGTTTTCATTATTTTTGTACATTTTAAATTTGGTTTCCTACACTGTCAGACATGTTTAAATGATGGTAATAACCATTTTGCATCACAATAAAAAATTGTTCTTGAATATGCATTCCACATGTTTTTTTAATAAATTCTTACACGCTTAAATTATCCTTATTTTATGGAATTTTAAGTTCATTTCCTTTACTTGAAAGGTTTTCAAATTGTTGGCTGTATTCATTTTGCATTCAAAGAAAATTTGTATACATTACAAATTATGCAAGAAATAGTGTACACTCTTATATTAAGATTGAAGCTTTTCTTTTGAGGCAAAATGAATTCTACCATTATATTCTACACAGTTTTAGATGTAGGAAATAGATTTAAAATTTCAAAAAATGATTAAAATTGAGCCGGTAACAATTAATTAAAAAAACATGAAAGAAACCTGTCACACGCAGTATTCATTACAAATCTTTGGTTTTTATGCAAAAAGATTTTTACCATCATTTTAACCATGTCTTAAAGTGTGGGAAATAAATTTAAAAAGTGAAAAAAGAATGAAAATTAAGCTGTAAAAATTTAAGTGAAAAAAGTGTCTAATTTCA